GCTACTCTGTTGACTAGTACCTCGCCTTCTCCAACGCATTTTCCAGCAAGAACAGCAAAGTTGGTGAGTGTGCTCAGAGTGGACCACACCTGCAGCATTACATGACTAGAACTTTGTTCCAAAAAGTTCCATTATATACACTCTGGTCTTTGTTTTCAAGAGCCCACCTGGTGGGGGGCAAATTCAAGGAGAGAAAGCCTGATCATTCCCAAGTGAGGCTCCAACATGATGCAACTCAGGTGTAATTGCGTCCTCCCCATGGCCAGAAAAAAGGGACAAATATTGCTGCTTTGTTTAAAAGTGTTGCTGTGCACAGATTGTAATTGACACTGCGCAAAAAAAAAAAAAAGTGGGGGGTCTGTTGGTTTGTCCAGAAAAACTTTTCCCATTTTGTTTGAACAGCAATCCAAGCGTGTACAGGAGAGTGGAGACTTAGTTTGGGTGAGGCTGCCCTCTCTATTGGCACTGAGTCTTTGGGGCAACAGTTTGCAATCCTCTCATCAAATTTTGTCACAGTTGGATGCAGAATGTGAAGGTAGGAAACTGGATCAATAAACAAGCAGTCTTTTGACTTCTAGTACCACTGACCAGCGCCAGTTATGTTTCCAACAGGAAACTGGCCTCAGCTACTTGAAGGAGACCAAAAAGTGGGAAACAATTGCAACATAGAACACTGCCAAGCCCCAGTAGTTGTAAGAGTATTTGAGCTGTGCCCCATGCTGAAGCCTTTGTAAAAGAGGGAGATTAAGTCATGCAGGCACAATTCCTGCGATTCAGAACAATGGTATGGCTGAGCAAATTCCCCTGCTGTAGAAGAGGATTGTACTTCCTTTTTTGTCCTTACAAATGCTTTTGCTTTCCATTTTTTTTCCCCAACACTGCAACCTTTTTCATCAACAATGAGAAATAGAAAAGATCTCATGGTATCAGAAACCTTGCCGCTTTGGCTCCTTCTGCATCAACGCTGTGGCAGCTCCTGCAGGCCAGTCTGCCAGTTGCCTGCTAAGCCAATCTCTCACAGTTTCTCGACTGCCACATTGTTGTTCTGTAGCCAAGACACAGTCACACTTTGCCCAGGCACCCACACCTTTGGGGAGGAGAGGCTGCTGTGAAACATGAGTGAATTGGGGTTCCCACTGCACAGTGCGCACCAGCCGTAAAAAGCAAATGGAGTGGGGTCACTGATTCTCTTTTCCCTTGACCCTTCCTTCAGAGACCCAACAAATATAGCACAGCAGCAGTGGCACCACACTGCACCAAACACCAGGGAGGACAAGGGAGTCACGTGTTGGACTTCTTTGGTGAGTGGTCCTTTTCTTGCTTTTGATGGAAACGTGAGAGGAGTGGAGAAATAAAAAAGCGAGAAAAATTTGCAAGGACATGTCCAATGTAATTCACAGTTGTTATGAATCACCCTCTGGAACCTTCTGGAACCTTCTAGAACATTCCTTCATGGAACCTTGTGGAACCTTCTGGAACCTTCTTTGCTTTCCTGACTTGTCTTGTTGCCATTGGTATCATTGGTATCATTGGTATCATTGTATTACTAATTGCTCTTTCTGGAACTTTCTTTGAGTCTTGACAAGGAAGGCTCTCAAAAGGTATAAAAGGGGGATGGGGGACCTGTCCCATCCCTCAAGTGAATTATTGTTTCCAATACAATCATCACTCCTCTCAGTTCCTTGTCTGCCTTGTCCTGTCCTGCCCTGTTCCTGACATCATAATTCACTTCACCCTCTCCCACTACTCTCTGCCATCATGTCTGACCCAAACAACACCTTCCCTGATGCAACTGCCTTCCAAGCCTTGATGGACCAATTACAAGCCCTTTCAAGACAGACACACCAACTTCAAGAACAAGTCCTTTACCAGCAGCACCAGCTTCAACAACAACTTCACCAACAAGAACATCAAGCTCTTCCCCTGCCCCAACCCAACCAAGCAAGAGAGCCCAAGGTTCCCAGCCCTGACAAGTTCACTGGGCTGGCCAAAGACCTTAGGAACTTTATGGCCACTGTGGAGAATGTCATCCTTCTCCAACCTTCAAGATTTCCCAGTGAGCAAGTCAAGGTTCTTTTCACAAGCACCCTCCTGTCTGGTCAAGCTCAATCATGGTACAGATCTCTCCCAAGCACACCCACCACCCTGCAAGAGCTCTGGGAGGGGCTGGAAGCTACCTTTGGTGACCCCTACGCATCTTGGACAGCAAGATCCAAGCTCAAGCATATCAAGCAAGGAAAGCAATCTTGTGTGGCCTACACCAACCAATTCAAGCAACTAGCCAGAGACTCTGGATACAATGATGCAGCTCTGATGGAGCTGTACCATGATGGTCTCCATGAGTCTATCCAAGACATGCTCTCCCAGTCTCTGCACATCCCTGAGACCTTGGAAGAGTACATTCTCCTTGCCATCAAGATTGACAACAGACTCTACTCCAAGAGGCTGAAGCAAAGACAAGTAGGAACTACATCAAGACCTACCCCAGTCCCTCAAGCTCTCACAGTTCCTGAACCCATGCAAGTGGATGCAGTTGAGACACTTCCTAAGGGTCCTCTGAGCCAAGGGGGCCCAGCAGGGACTGTGTTTCTACTGTGGCTCCAAGGAACACGCTGTCAAGGACTGCCCAAGGAAGAAGCACCCAAACTCCCAGGTCCAGGCTCACTGAGGGGCAATTCCCTGGACCCTCCTCCAAGCTGCCCCTGTTTCATCACCACCACCAGCACCACAAACACCTCAGATTCCAAGCCCCACCAACTCACCATGGATGTCAAGATTCAACTCTCACCCAAGTCAACCATCACAACCAAGGCCCTTATCGACTCTGGATCATCCTGCAACATCATTGATGCCACCCTTGCCAAGTCTTGTGCCATTCCCACCATCAAGAAATCCACACCCCTCAAGGTCCACTTTGCCAATCATGCTCTGTTCAAGGAAATCAGCCATGAAACCAAGCAAAACCTCCACATCCAAGACTTACCACCATCCATGGTCAACCTGGAAGTATTGGATCTTGGCTCACCCACATTCTCTGTCATCCTGGGATTACCATGGCTGCAAGCCCAGAACCCTGCCATTGATTGGGTCACTGGTCAAGTCCAACCTCCACCAATTGGAACAGTCACCCAAAACTCAAGTCAAGCCACCAAGTCTCATGCTCTCAAGCCCTTGATTCAAGATTCACAGCCAGCCAAGACTCAAGTTCCACAGTTCACAGTTCACAGTCAAGATTCAAGTAGAGCTCATAGAGCTCACAGTCATGGCCAAAACTCTAGTTCACAGAACCCACAGTCAAAGATTCAAGTACCACAGTTCATTGTCCACATTCAAGATTCAAGTTCTACAGCTCACAGTCTTTGCCAAGAACAGAACCCTCAGTCAAAGATTCAAGAATCACAGTTCCCAGTCAACAATTCAAGCCCCACTGCTGATGAGCACAGAAGGACAGATCTTGCACCTGAAGGGGGAGATGGTTTCACCCCACAATCCAAGACACACTTTTCACTGCTTCCTGACAGTGTGTGGGCCCATGCTATTTCCAAGGACCCCAAGCCTCACAAGATTCAAATCAGCCAAGAAGAGGAAAAACTTGAGATACTCAAGACAACGTATGATGCAGCAACAGCTGGACACCCAGGAGAGCACAAGACATATGAGCTTGTTTCCAGAGACTTTTACTGGCCGGGCATGAGGAAGAACTTGCAGACCAAAAGACCAAGTCCCAAGCTAGACAACCTCAGGTTGGGACCTTTCAAGATCTTGGAGCAAATCAATCCAGTCACCTTCAAGCTGGATCTCCCTGCATCCATGAAGATCCACCCAGTTTTCCATGTCAGCCTTTTGGAGAAGTTTGTGGCCAATTCCATTCCAGGCAGAGTTGTTCCTCCTCCTCCTCCAGTTGAGGTAGAAGGTGAAGAGGAATTTGAGGTTGAACAAATCTTGGATGCCAAGTGGTTTGGAAGGACACTCAAGTTCCTTGTTAAGTGGAAGGGTTACTCAGATGCTGACAACACCTGGGAACCTGAGTCAAACCTCACTCACTGCCAAGACCTTCTGCTCAAGTTCAAGACCAGGTACCCCACCAAGTTGCAGAAGAGGCCTAAAAGGGGGAGATGATGTTATGAATCACCCTCTGGAAACCTCTGGAACATTCTAGAACATTCCTTCATGGAACCTTCTGGAACCTTCTGGAACCTTCTAGAACATTCCTTCATGGAACCTTGTGGAATCTTCTGGAACCTTCTTTGCTTTCCTGACTTGTCTTGTTGTCATTGGTATCATTGGTATCATTGTATTACTAATTGCTCTTTCTGGAACTTTCTTTGAGTCTTGACAAGGAAGGCTCTCAAAAGGTATAAAAGGGGGATGGGGGACCTGTCCCATCCCTCAAGTGAATTATTGTTTCCAATACAATCATCACTCCTCTCAGTTCCTTGTCTGCCTTGTCCTGTCCTGCCCTGTTCCTGACAACAGTTTACAGCTACCGCAGGAGGCTGCAGCACCGCCTTGCAACAGCCGGGAATCGGACCCAGGTCTACCGCGTGGCAGGCGATAATTCTACCACTGAACCACTGTTGCTCTGGATGTTATTGATGTCGTTTTACATTGATCACTAATCTACTTATAGGTACTGGAGAAAAAGTTTCTTTGCAGTGTTGCTGGAAGAACACCAGGGTCCCAGAAAGAGCCCTCATTCCATGGACCCACTAGTGTCCTTTGCTTACAAGAAATTTGATTGGTGTGTGGATCAGTTGCAGCACTTGCGCAACGCATCTCTGCAAGATGGCTGCAGCCAATCATGCATCAAACTCTACCAGCCACAAGAATATTTAAAAGCAGCTTGACTGAAGGAATAAGCAAACAACACAGGTGCGTAAACAAAGGCAAACTATGTGATCAGACACAACAATCACTGTCAGCACAGTAACACCAACCTCATGAAGATCTTCAAAATCCAATTGTGAGCGCAATGAGTAAAAGCAGCTTTGACTAACCATTGCGCTGACCGGGAATTGAACCCGGGGCTGATGCTATCTCCCTACGGGTGGAAGGCGTCTATTTTACCACTAAACTACCAGCGCCTTTTTATGTCACTTGGGGTTGTCGTTCCAGTACCCATCCTGTTGCCAACCAATGCCAAGCATCACGTTCCTTCCAATGTTTGCCACCATTGGCAGCACTTTAGCCAGCCATCTCACCCATAGTTAGGAGCTCAAAAGCACTTGTTCATACAGGTTTGACAAATGGCCAATGCCACCAGTGCCAAAGTCGTGCAAACAACAAACTGGAATCAACAGAAGGTCCTTGGAGGCAGAATGAGGAGCTCTACTGAGGATGGAGGTGGAGCAGCTCAGGCTCCAAAATCAATACAATTTCGCTATTTGTGACAAAAAGGGCCTTAACGGTATTGAGTTGTGTAGTAGCTCAGTGGTGATGGCACAGCCTGAATCTGTGCGCTGACCCAGAGCCCAGCAGAGGAGCAGCCAGTGTGAGCACCTTCCCCTGTGCTCCCCAGTGTGCCTCACCAAGGAGAACAATCTTCCATGCCATATGTCTGTACAGAATTGCCATTTCTCCTTTGAAGGAGAAAGTGCTCCGACCAGCCAGTGCAAGGGAGTGGGGTGCTCTGGGTGAGAGTCGAAACTCACGACCTTCGGATGACTGTGTGGAGGAGCACCTGTGCAACCAGGTGTGTCATGTATGAGACCGACGCTTTAACCAACTAAGCCACCAGAGCCCTCAAACAAGTGGGTGCACTGCATGTGTTGTCTGTGTGCCTACCAGTTTTCTCACTTGTTTTAGTGGAACATGGCTGGAGGATTCTCCTCATGCCACGCAATCAGCATGCAAGTTTTGTTAGCTTTTGCTATTCCCAGATCGTCTAACGGTCAAGATTCCGCCCTTTCACGGCGGCGATCGGGGTTCGATTCCCCGTCTGGGAGCCATCAGTTGGACTTCACTTGCTGGACAGGAGCTTCCACTTCCAGGCTCAGACTCCAGTCCTGGACTGGCTTGGCTTTCACTTGACTGCCACTGGCTGCCTTTTTTTCTGCTAAGTCACTTCAAATTGTTTCTGTGCTTTTTTCCTAGGATCTGATTTTGTTAGAAATTGAATACTCCATCACGCAAGCCAGTTGACGTGAATGAACAAACAGGAAAAGTGATTGTTGGGTGCAAGGTTTCAGACCCTGTCCATCCCACAATCAACCCACCTCTGCAGTATTTCACCAGGCACGCCCCATGGATCCTTACTCAGGTGCCTGCTTTAGAAGCAGGAAATGTAAAGCCACCTCTGAATCAGTCTCATCTGGACCTGTTGCATGCACTCTCTGGCATAGGTGTGAGAATCTCCTACTTCTCCTGGCAGACCATGGAGCGTGGCGCTCCAGGACAATCCCTCTGGAGAACAGGTCGAGGACAAAGTGTGGGGCATTGACAGCTGGGCTGTGAGGAAGCAGCACTGTGTGCGGGCGGCAATCAAGCAGGATGCAATAGTGTTGTGGCAACTGCAATGGCAAAGCAGCAGTGATGCAGCAACAGAAATCCTCCTTGAGCTGACAGGGACTGCTCTCTATGAGCTCAAATTTTTGGACGCCCCTTTCTCCTCTGCCACTTAAAAATTCCCAAACTGACAAAAAGCACAAGCACACTTAGGCAAGCTGGCTGCTTTCCAACTTGGCACCATTTCTTTTCATGAAAACAAACCAGGAGAATCACCTTTTTGGATGATTTAAATTTTGTGTTGGGCCATTGGCAAGCCAAAGCCAGGGACTGAAGTTGTCTGTGGATCAGTGCAATATCAGGCTGCTGCTGCACATCCAGGTTTGGAGCTGCCTGCAAGTGGGCACTGGTAAGTACCAATTGAAAGTGGCCTATTGGCCAGGAGGCACAGACAACGTGGCCGAGCGGTTAAGGCGACAGACTAGAAATCTGTTACGGTTTCCGTGCGCAGGTTCGAGTCCTGCCGTTGTCGGACAGAGTGTTGCGCAACCAGCCTTGCTCGGCTCCTCTGTTGCAGTTATTGCCTTAGTTGCGCATCAAAGTTGTGTGGGTGGCAGGTTAGATCTGCTCTTTTTGGATGCAGCTAGTTGGGTGCAGTTAGCCCCAAAGCACCAGAATGCAGCTGCCCTTGCAGATGTGGGAGGCCTGGCCAAAGTTAGCTTGTATGCCACGCGTGCAGCAATAAAACATACGTACTGGATATCCATTTTGCCTGGGAATCCTCCCATATCTGAGCAAAAAAAAAAAAAAAAAAAAAAAAACAAGCTCATATCTGCCTCATCTGTATGTGCCTGTGTTTTAAAGAGGATGCAGATATTCCCCCTTGATCAGGATCTTGGATTATGCTTCTCTGGCCCTGATGCAGCAGGGGCTCTGTATTTTATACTGCGGAAGATCTTGGGAATGGGATTGGGGTAACTGTGATTGCATTTTATTGCTGAGAGGTTGATAGGGTTTGGAAGTCCTAAGATAGTGATGCAATCATACGAGCCAAAGGCACTAATGTGGGCGTGTGGCAAAATGGTTAGCGCGCTTGACTACGAATCAAGAGATTCCATGTTCGACCCCTGGCACGCTCGTGTCAGTCCGTCTGCAATGGGCAGATCGTAGACTTTTCATGGCCTGTGGGTATGGTGTCAGCCTTAATTGACAGTCAAGTACCCAGTTTCTAGGTTGCAGCGGAGAGGTTGAGGCACTTCTGAAAAAAGCATGGGGCTTTGGTCTAGGGGTATGATTCCTTCTTAGGGTGGAGGAGGTCCCGGGTTCAAGTCCCGGAAGCCCCCTGTGCATCTTATTCCACCTTGTGGACTTGGATGGTGTGAAGCCACTCAGGCGGAGAATCTTGATAGACTGCTGCAATCACTAGTTGTTGTTGCCAGTGACAAGGGGGGGTAATGAGAGAAGTGAGCAGACCATGAAGGGATTGGAAGGTCACCAGCTGGGAACTTGTGCATGGAAACACAAGCAATCGAGAATGCACCAAACCCAACCGCCCACAGCCACATCCACTTGACTTGACCAACAGGCTTTATCACATGTGTAAACAGTTTACTCTGAGTGGCAAGTGGAAGGAGTGAATGAAGTGGAGATGTGTGCTTGTTGGTAGTCCTTCTCCCCAACTTGGAGAGAAAAGAGAAAACTCTGTAATGGATAATCTCCCCAACTTGGAGAGAAAGAGAAAAACTAGTAACCTCTTTTTTCTGCCACACATTCCTGCCACACCCACATCATCAAAAAGTCAGGGCGTTTGTCATTTTGGAGGGTCAAAGATTAAAACGAAAGAGCTTTGCGTAGATCCTAGGTCGTCTAATAGTTAAGATTCCACCCTCTCACGCCTGGGAGATTTCTGCAGTGGTCCAGACTACAAAGGCAGATGTTTAAATATCTTGTTCAATGGGTGTGGAACACTTGTCACCGTTGGGCCAAAGGTGTTTGCTTTCCCAAAGCAAGCAGCTAAGTGGCAGTTGTTCCTATTCTTTCCACTAATTTTTGGACATTTTGAATTCAATCCTGTGGCAATTTTTCCCCATAGAGCATTGTGAGAACAATAACTGACAGTCACAATAGGTTCGGGTCCGTCTTGTGCCTGTTGCTGCTTGCCAGTCAGTTCTGCCTGACACAGGGGTTGAGGGGGGGCTCAGGGGACAGGAGCCAAAATATTCCCCTCTGTTGCACTGTCTCTTGCCTTATCTCTCTATCTGTTTCTCTGTCTCTGTCTCTGTCTCTCCCTCTCTCTCTGCAGTCCTTGGTTATTTTCTCGCTTGGGTGGGGTGACTCAGACCATCTCATTGGAGGCAGACCAACCCATCTGACAAGGCAGCTTCAAGCAACTCAACGCAACAACAGGAAGGTGCCAGGATAGACAGTGTATCCAATCATGGAAAAGCAGTGCCAGTGCCAGAGTCAAATGGGTTGCTGCATGAGCAGCCAAATGCTGCAAGGGCAGCACTCAGTTTGTTGGAGGTTCCAGGTTTGACAGTGCGGCTGTGCTGAAAGACTGCAACTTCTCTCTTTCTGTCCTTTCTTTGTCTGTCAGTGTGTCAATGGCTTGGGGCTAACACCATGAGCTTTATTGGTCACTCTCCACATGGCCTGCCACGCAATGTTCATTGTGGAATGCCACTTTCCCTTCAATCCAGGGACAGATTGCCTGTGTGTGGGACTACCATCTATATAATAAATAAAACAAGGATTTGCGGCTAAACTGATTTTCTAATTGCAATTAGTGGAGCAGGGGGTTGGTTCGTCACCCATGCAAACCAAGACTCGATTCACTGTCCCCAATTTCCTGGCTGCTCTGTGTGTGGGCAGTTGGACCATGCAAACCAAGATTCCCTTCTTTGTCCCCACTTCACTGGCTGCTTGGCGTGTGGGCAGTTGAACCATGCAAATCAAGGCTCACTGCTCTGTCCCCAATTTCCTGGCTGCTCTGAGTGTGGACTCACCAATCATATTGACCAAACTTCCCCCCTCTGCCTTAACTTTGCTGGCTGCACCTCCTGTGGACGCTGCAGTCACCATGGCCCAAACTCTCTTCAATGCCTGAACCGCCAGCCATGCCCAAGATGCGGCCTTCGGAATCACCTACATGAGCGCTCAAGGCTTTGCCCTTGACCTTGCCTCACTTGTGTGGGCAATGACGAGCCTGATGACATTGCCGAATCCCACGAGTCTGTCAATTCACTTGACTGTCCCCACCGCCTTCCGTGTGATGCCTGTGGTAGCATGGATCACCTTGACCACCAGAGCGAAACAGCCCTCCTGATGGTCCTCTTTACAATCCCTTTTACCCATCTTCTTTGGATCCCCTTCACCATCCCCCCCTTGCTCGTGGCAGTTTTTTCCGTCTGATGACCCCACCACAAGTGGAATTCTTCCGCATTGTTAACTGGACTCACACACTCCCAAACCCCCAACTCCTTTCTCATCACTACTCCAGGCTCCCTGAACGCCTTCACCCTTCCTCCCACAATTTCCACTTGGTTCAATGCCTTGGCTGCCCCATTGGCTCCCCCCCATTCTCTTACCCCTGCAGCAAGCACATCTCTCCCTACAATCCAACTTCCCTTGCACACTCCACCTACACAGTCCCCATCAGCAGCCGCACAACTGCTACTGCAACTCGACCCTCCCAGCCCATCTTCTTTGTTAACTCACCTTCCCCCACCACCGTTTTCACACCCACACCTTTCCCACTCCTCACCTCCCGCCACTCCACTTTCAATCCAGCTCCCTTCACAAATCCCTGCTATCAACCAATGGACGTGCCCCTTCTCCCTGCTGACCTTGCCCATACTCACCCATCCTTGACCTTTGACACCGATGGCTCCCTTCGCGAGGAGGGCTTCATGGCTGGCTCTGTTGTTTGCCTTGAGCTTAACTTTGAATTTTCTTTTGCCCTCCCCCCACTCTCTGCCTCTTCCACAACTGCTGAAATTGCTGCTCTCCTTGCTGCCCTCACCATCACTGCAAAGCTTTCCCTGCCCCTCACTTTTCGACTTGACAATCTTGGAGTGGTTCACACCTTTGAGAAACTCTTTCCCTCAAACTCCTTTAGTCCCCATCCACACAGCGAGCTCAACACACCTCCTCTCTCTGATTCCCTCCATCGTCTTTTGCACACCACTTCCCACCCCACCCTTTGGGCATGTGTTGCAGCCACTCTACAGTCTTGGATTGGCCCCCCTCCACAAGTTTCCTGGGTTCGTGGACACAACGGCGACGCTGGCAACGAAC